GCTGGTGCGGCTCTGCATGATAGATGTGGTCGCGATTTGTCGGCATGGTCATGTCTGATGCGTGGCCGAGAGGCGGAAAAGAAGGGGGGTGAGAATCCATTGGACCCTGCAGACCAACAACAAGAGATTGAGAGGAGTGCACGCATGGTATGGAAGTCTTGGGCTCGTGTCCAGGTGCCTGGGCGTCACATTTGCATGGGATATAAAAGAGACTACCTCGGGTTTGTGCGTTTCAGGGGCAAGTACAACTATGCCTCGTCTTCTTCCACGCGACAAAGAGGGGGCTCAGGGGAAAACAAACACGCTCCTTCCCTATGGACGATGCTGGCACGTATCTCACGCACTCCACTTCGCGGCAATGACCCTCGCGTCCGGCAAGGAGCTTTGGGGAGGACATGGTGGGGTTTAATGATGTAAGGCGCCAGTTTTTGTCCCGACGCGTGCCCGCCGTCGCTTGTTGACTTCTTTGCCATGGCCACCAGGAGGCAAAAAGACTTGCCACGCCAAGAACGTCATCACTACACCGCCTGCAGAGACACCAGCATGGTTCATTATGCATGGCTGCTAGCCATGCATGCCTTCTGTGACGCAGTATACCATGCACACGGGTCCGCTTAATTTTTTCGGTGGTCGTCCGATTTTCCTCGCTCTCCTTTTTCTTCAACTTCATTTTTTTGAGAAGATCGGAACGGGCCTTTTTTTCCCTTTCCTTTACCCATGTTTTCATGTCCATTTCGTGACAGAGGGCACAAACGATCGCCACAAGGCGTCCTTTGGTGCCCTCTTGATCCTGTAAAATTTCTAGGCAAATATTTTTGACCCAAATTTCGTGTCGGAGCACATTCTTTTTTTGTGTTAAACAAGGAAACGAGGGAACGTGCGTGTTGCACCCCGTGCTGCAAGTCCTGTCTACGAGCAACAAAAGTCACGTGTCTTTTTTAAATAACAACATTTGCTGACCTTGTAGCTCCTAATAATTTAGGCACGTGTTTTTCATAGGCAGTGAATTTCATCGCTATTTTGCATTCTTGTCCAGGATACCGCCAAGTACGTGGGCGAGTCTGAATGAGATGGACATCCACGCCCCTCCTCCACCTTTACAACACCCTCCGCTGCCAGAAAATACAATGCCACCTCTCTCTCCGCCGTCTGGTCTTCCTTTCTTGGTCAACTACCACCAGCCGGTGCCCGATTTTTCCGACATGGTCATGGATGAGTTTTGGGGACAAGACCATCACCAACAGCATCCGCCTCCTCCTGTCTTGCCATTTAATTGTGAGGGTGGTCCTGGAAGTATGGCTAACGTTGGCAATGGCTATGACACCTTTACCTTTGATCCTATGACGGGCAACCTGCAGCTGCAAAACCCTCCCACTCCTCCCCCCCCATTGCCTTCGCCCTCCCCGCAACGATGCGAGCGCAGATCCATGGATCAAACCACCCGTCGCGGCCTCCACAATACAGAGGAGGAGGACAACGAGGAGAATGCAGAGGATGGTGACATGTACGGGAGCGACAGTGACTTTGTGATCGAAGAAGACGACCTCTCCAGCTTGGACTGTGACGAGCGGAGCAACCCAAACTACCCGCTGCCGGCCTACCTGCCTCCATCGGTCATGAACACCATAAATTCCTCGAATGAGATGCGCGTGTTTTCTACCTATTCAGCCGGGGCCCTGCCACTGGGGGGTATGCACGGCGGGAACGGGGTTCGGAGCCACTTGGCGCGTGGCGCGAGCCGGGGGGGGGGCGGGGTCCGCGGACGACGGAAGGGGGCTCTGGACGTCCACCAAATGAGTCGACGTTTGAAGCAAAAGGCGGAGAGCTATGAA